CGCCGCGCGAGGGGGAGCGGGGCCCGGGAGACGGTGGCGGGGTTTAGGGTTTGGAGAGCCATCGGAGAGGGGAATGGGGGAGGGGGGTGCGGAGGGAGGGAGGAGGCGGGCCGGGGAAGAGATGGGGGCGGGGAGGGAATCGCAAAATTGGAAGGTGAGCTGAGAGAGAGAGAGAGAGAGAGAGAGATGCGATCGTGCGAATGGAACGGCTCAAAGTTGCATCAGTGTGGAAATTCTCTCTTGGTTATCCGAATCTATTCGATTAGGAAAAGCGGTTGCAATATGCCTCACTGACTCAGAAAACTTGTATGGAAATCTAGAAGAAGAAAACAATATTGTAAATATTGTATAGTACGAGTGAAGGCCATGAAATTCGGACCAAGATTTACGAATAAGGCGAAGAATCACAAAAGTGCATGGTATTTGTAAACGTATGAAGACACACGAAAGTGATCGACTGGGTGTTAGAATATCGTTCCCTTCCCATGCTTCGGCGATGACCCACAGGGGCGTTGTTCTACCCGTCCCCATCGACGAGACCACGTGCCTCCTCCCCCTCCGTCTGTTAGGACGTCGAAGGATGGGGCGGAGAACCCCCGATGCTTCGTTTCAGTGATAAATTTAGGAATAAGTTTAGTGTGTTTTGTCTTCGGTGTTCGATGGTGAGATGATGACGTCGTCGTTGGCGTGGAACGGATCTTGTCCTCCCAGTCCTCGTTGCGACAATACTTCAAGTTGTCATTAGAAGGCGACGGGGTGGGGCGGGGGGGGGGGTCCCATTTTCGATTGTCCGTATCCGATCTCTTTTGAGCAGATATTTCTTGGTGGTGGTACCTTGCTGAGTCGATGACGTGGATGTGTGTTTTGATCCTATAGCTTTAATTTTGTTAGGAAGGATGGCAACTCGGACTTGTTGCAGGAGCATGTGAGGTTTGTGTTCCCGACGTTTTTCTTTCTTACATGAAAAAGATAATGGGGTTATGTTGTAGTTTGTGACTGAGTCTCCGTTCTATTTTTTGGTTGTTGTTGTTTTTGACGTTCTGCAAAACACACTAAAAGATCTAACTAGGTGCTACGAAGAAAATGTGAAGCTAACATTTCTCGTTGGGATATTCTTTGGCGATTTAAAAAGAAACGCCTCATAAACTATTTTAAAAGGCATTGTGACCGTCTCTGAATATCTGCCGGCTTGTGGTGTCATCCAAAGAATATCTGATGTATAAATGTTATGAGTACACTAATTTTCTTTTTGAGTTAATTACACCCATGATACATAAATTTGTTGCGAGATAACAAAATCATACACAAACTTGAAAACCCCACAAGTGATACACTAACTTTGATTCGGATAACAAATTCCTACAAAACAGTCTGAGCTGACACATATCGTTGTTACTTTACAAAAAATACCTTGAAGCTAATTTAATTTCACCTGAGATCCTAGCCTAAAATCCCCAAAATCTATTGTCGTGTTGATGGCCGCAAAGGGCGGCTGAGCAGCTGGAGAGCGGCCGAGCACACCCGCAAGCAGCAACACACTGCCATGCAATGATGCCACCACTAACCGATGATGCCACAAGCACACAACCAGGACGTGCAACAGTAGCTAGAAGAAGCGGCAACCCTATGAGAGTCATGTTGCAAGGCTCGCCCGCCACGGAGGAGCCCTTCGACGGCATCGTGGTGGCAGATGGTGGTAAGCCACGTAATCAGCGATGGAAGTGAGTAGCCTCGGCGTGTGGGATGCATCTCTAGTAGCGGCAAACAGGAGAGCGAGCTGGCTGACACTATAGTGGGCACATTGTTGAGGCACTAGTGACCGTCATTGTTCAAGTCGTGGAGGAGGTCCGAGTGTTGCACTGCTGCGAGTGCCACATGGTTGTGGCTCCTGCCTACGGCAAGCGCACCGGTATCTTCCCCTGCCCAGGCTGCGGTGACGCCTTCGTCATTTACTGCGCGCTACGGAATCTGACATGTTGGTTGCCATTGTCGGCGTTGTTGACAAGGAATCCCATCGGGCTACCCTATGAGCATGGCAAACATGTTGACCATGGCAGTGGTATTTGTATGTGCACGCCTCCGCTAGGTGCCTACAACGTAGTCCCTGGCATGGGCGAACACCTCACCGGTGTCGACCGATGCCTCACCGCCTGCGCGTGAGACGTGCGTCGTCCCACCCTTGCCGACATCTGTGAGGTAGCCCGAGGAGCCCCACGCGTGCAGACTAAGGCATAGCCTAGTGGTGTGAAGGGGTTGATGCCTTCCCATCCTCCAGGTTCAAGGCATGGTACTTGTAATTTGGGTTTGTTGCATCAATTATACTGCAGGGGTTCCCTTACCGTCTTTCTATAAAAAAACAGCAACAGAGGCGGAGGAGACTGGCGATGGTTCTGGTGTCTTAGCCGACCCTTTACTTCCATCCCTCCATCATGTCACCCACGTAACGCCGGCAGTACACGCGGCCATACAAGGCAGTGGCTGGAAGACGTGCATGTACCGGCTGCACACTACGCACAAGTTTGAATGTGGTATGTTCGGAGGTCTTCCACGTGTCACATGAATAGGGCAACACGACGATGCCCATAGCCGTGCGCGGGTTTCTTCACCCTCTACTGCAACCAACACAGCTGTAGATTTGACAATTAGAAGGCAAGAACCTCGGTTGTGTAAATTTCATTAGTTCAGGGCTCTTTTTGTAAAAAAAATAATAACACTTGTCGGCCTGTGGGTAGATACAGACTGTTTTGTATGAATTTGTTACCCAAACCTAAGTTAGAGTATCATTTTTCAGTAAGTTTCAAGATTATGTATGATTATGTTTTGTTCTAATAAGTTTATGTACCATAGGTGTAGTTAACTCTTTTTTTTAGAGGTTCCTGAAAAATAACCGGATCTGTGATCCACACTAAAAATGATTTAAACGCAGCATCTTTTTGTGTGTTCCAAATTTCCTTCTATATTGCGACAGATACCATTTCAAAACCAGTTGAAAAAAAAAACATTTCAAGCCCCTAGCTCTCTCTTCCCCCAGAACCCCCAACCTCTCTCCCCGTCACCCGCCGCCCGCTTCGTCTCTCCCGGCGACGACGTGCCGGCCTCTCCTCTCCTCCCAAGCCGACCACCCCGCCCGCCCCATAATTTCCTCTTCTCCTCGCTTCTCCCTCCCACAGCCACCGGCGCTCGAGCTGCCACGCCAGCCGCAGCGGCTCCAGCCCTCTCCTCGGCTCCGGCCGCCGTCGAGGA